CTTTCTCTTTGGAGTGTTACAAGCTCTTGGTGCATAAAGAGGATCTGTAAAGTTGCAAAGACTAAAGTCTCAAATCCAAAGAGATATTCTTTATAAAAGTTAAGAGTTAACCACGCCTACCTAAAACGGCTCGTTCTAACATGCCCCCACATATCTACGTCACGATGTGGGAAGATTTGCATAACGCCGCCCAAATGTACACGCAAAGAAAGAAGGCATAACTTTTATTCTCGCTGTAGTATTGTTGCTGCCGCCGCTGCCATGTCGTGAAGGCGCTGTGTGCTTCGTTGTGAAAGCGAAACTACTTTGTTTGGCCTTCCAAAAGAGGACGATATCTGCTTCGTCATGCCTAGAGCTGATCCGTGCTGGTCGCTGAGGAAATACTACAACTTTGCGCTGTGGATCATCGGATCGGCTTTCACCGTGGACGAAGCGGAGTCCAGCCCGGGATCGTCACATGTGGTTGCCGCCAATTCGTCAAATCCGCTGGCCGTGCCATTCTCAAGCCCGCCGCCGCTCACTCTAGCCGCTGTGTGTGACACTGTGTGTTTCGTAGTGAAAGCGAAACTACTTTGTTTGGCCATAATCCATAATTATGTCCCCACTGGATGCAACGAATGCCTCGTTTATAATGGGTTTTCATGTTTTTGTCTCATTGCTCCGACTGGACACAGCATCACAGTATGGTAGGGGCGTAACGTTTCCGTCACACGCTTGAGGTATTCGGCCAATATATATATATATATATGTAGCCTACGTCTGATCATAATAAAAAAAAATTCAGTATTTTCTATTGAGGTAAAACTTATAAAATCGAGCTCTTCTTTTATTTTAATTGCTCATTAATGTCAAATAAAAATGGATCAGTCTATTATTTTATTTAGCAAATTCAATCCTTGCAGTCTACTGAAGTTACTGGCGATGTTATCGATTGTCACTGAATGGCTAAAAATATATATTTTTTAGCTTTATTTACTTGCCAAAGCTACTTTTAATTGCATTTGTTCTCGATGCACAGAGTTTAACTTCTGGACGTTAATGACATGGCATCAAATATGGACTACATTTTATGAAAACTGTACAGATCAGCAGCAGCTCTTGCATGTTTAACCAGTACTTGTTTTTGTTTGTAACTATGGAATCAATTAGAAACAAAGTCACAATTACAAGAGATAAGATAAAATTGCAGTTATAGCCTACCACCACCAACCCAAACTGAATATACAAAATCACCATTTACTGAACATTAGTTTATCAAGAACTGAAGTTTAACAATGATTTGAAATCTTTGTTTCGTTGACACCTTCCCTTGGGTGAACTGATACTTGAGTGTGTCTCTAGAAGAAGGTGTCAGGGACCCTAAGGGCCAAGGTGAGAGTCCAGGGGCCACAAACACAGACTTTTGTCCACCTACACTATGCTCTCAAGCTCATCACTGCATTGATAACAAAACGGGCCAAGCCTCATATATTTACACAGACACACACCCAGTGCATGTTTACCAATGTGACGACCTTGTCATTTACATTTACACCGATGATATCATTGGAATGTGTTGTGGAGGAGGGAGACAGTACAATGTGTGTGTGTGTCTTTTTATATCTGTGATGGCCAGATGTGTTTTATCATGTAATGCAGAAAAGCAAGGCTTGCCAAGCGTATGCTGGCAGCACAGCGATTAACACTCACAGGAAGCTGCTGGTCTCTCACCGTTTCATTCAAAGAGTGGCTACGGGAACGAGGCATGGGACAAAAAGGGCATACTTAATGTTTATTTTCTTTACATGAATCACGAAAGATAAAGGCTATTTTCAAATCCAAATGTCAAAATAAAAAATAAAATAATAATAATAATAATTGAATAGATTGCATTACTCTATGTCACTGTCAGTCGTTTAACATATATTTCTCAAAATACTTAGTCAAATATTATTAAATATTTAGCTACTTATTACCTCGCCCACTTTTAACAATAAAACTAAACGTCATGCTGGAATTCATGTTCAGCTTCTGTGAATGATAAACCCCGCCTACTTTGATTTATTTGGATTTTTTCAGTTCTTCAAAATGTTAAATATTTTGACATTGACGAGTGCTGTTGACCTGAGGTGGACCAGCCTAAAAATTTAACTTTTTTAAACTTTTTATCATCTTAACAAGGTAACACTTTATTTTTAGCCCACTTTAGACATTCCACTAACTATAAGTAACTCTGCGACTACATAGCAGTCATTAGAGAATTAGTGACTGTCTGCTTAATATCTGCTAACACTCTGCCAACTTATTCTACAAACCTTAAACTAACAGTCTAATAATACTCTAAAGAGAGTTAGTAGACAAGTAGTTGCCAAGTTTCTTACAGTCAACAGAATTTCTAAAAGGGGACCAACAAAATAAAGTGTAACATCTAACAACAAACAGAACAGCATGAATATCAAATATTGTATCAATTTGTCCATTTCTGGTTATACATTGTCCATTTACCAAAGTAGGCAAAGTTGTGGTAAACTTCATTTTAACTGAGCAAACACAGAAGATAATGCATAGCCTGGCAAGTATTCTTCTTTTTTTATAAAAAAAAAATAATCGGGTAGTAATACTGAACATAACACAGTATTACTGCAAAACGAGGCACCAAGGAAAAGCATTTCACTGCACTACATCAAATGTAAGTAATATGTATGTGACAAATAAATGAACCTTGAATATCACATTTAGTCCCTGAAAAAATTAACTTGAATTTAAAATGATGCCAGTTTACATCAATGCAAAGCCTTAATGCCTCTTAGTATGTCATTACCAGTGGGGCCACATTTCCTTTCCTCACACATCAGAGGTTAAAGTGGACAGGAACTCCTCCTGCCTCTGGTGGGTGAGTACGGACAGAGCTGAACTGCAAAACAAAACGAGATAGAGGGGAAAAAGAGGAAGGTAAGATGAGAAGAGAAGGAAATATGAAATAATATCATGGCCATAGTTGGGGTGGGTGACACATTTTTGATTAGTTTAACAGTTAATCTCATCTGGTTTCCTTATATGGCTATAATGAGTAATTTATGGAATGTGAAAATTGTGCTAGTTCATGCTAGAACTGAAAATATGTGCAAAAAAATAAATATAAAGTTTATTGAGCGAGCAGATGGTGACAGTCAAACAACAGAGCATCCCGAGGGATTAAGAAGAAATATTCCCAGTGACATTTGAGGGTTGCATTCGGTTTTATGTAATTTTCCTGCCGGCCACAAGCCAGAAACGGCACGCCACAACAGAGAGGAATAGTTCGTGAATGAATTCTCACAGATCTGCACAAGGACATCGTGGCCAATAAATAAATGAATTAATTCAGGATGCCCCACCCGTGTCGGAATGCAGAAGACTCTCCCAACTCTGAGGAGCAAATGTGAGGGCGATGACATGTCTCTCTCCGAACCGTTTCCAACAGTGACTGTGAACATCAACCAAGAGCAAGTTTACAGGAAGATCCTCGTTTTTATCATCCAACAGTAGTCTCGCTCTTTTTCCTTCCTTTTTATTTCTAGACAAACTCCCTCACTCACCCAACAGTTCTTTCCAGCAACTAACTCATTGACCAAAAACGGGCTGCATGTCTGTTCTGACAGGGCGAAGACAATGCATTCAGGAACAACTCTTGGAGAAAACTCTTCCCATATCTAGACTGTGCATCAAATCAAACTTTATGACATTTTGTCAGGTTGTTGGAACTAGTCGGATTAGGTTAGGACAGGTTGCGTGACATACCATAATCCAGAAAACCATGAAGAAAACTACACAAAATAAAAGACAAAGTAAATGCTAAATGTGGTTTTTAACACACAGCGGATATAGTTTGTGGTGCCTACAACGTTTTGTGTAGTGAATCACTGGAAGCAGATAAGCATGAAACAATTTCCAATTTCGACTGCCATGTTAATATTTTTGAAGACTGTTGTGCCGGTGCACTTTAAAGAGCTACAACAAATTACAAAAATATTTATTATAATTTTAGACATGATAATACCTGAAAATATTCAGATTCAAGTTTTCAGATGAAATTCTAAAACTGGAAACTCCACAAAAAATACATTTTTTTAAAAGTTGAATCTAAAATTCAAATCTTTGTCACTTTCTAGATCTAGATTTCTAACTCTATATTCTATATTTCAATGTCTGATTTTTAGTCTGGCATATTGAGTATGTAAAATCTGTATCGTAAAGTCCTATGCTACAGAAGCTTCTGGAAAGCAGTGTCCTTGCATGGGCGAACCGGTTTCTCTGTATTTGTGTGTGTGTGTTGAGAAGGGGGTGTTTCAACTGATTCAACAGATGCAATCCAATCTGTCAGACGATGCTTGTGAGGTTACAGACATTTTCTCATTGCCCTGCCAGATGCATACCAATGCAGTCCACTCCACCGGAAGGACGAGCACACCTTGCTCCCTCTCTCGTCTCTCTTGCTTTTTGCGTTCCTTTTGCGCTCATTATCTTCATGCCCCTCTCTCTCTCTCTCTCTTGCTGGTGATAGATGTGTTTTCCTGGCACCCTCTGGCTGTTCATTTGCACCAATGACAGTAAATTAATCTTGTATCATCATTAGTTCTGTTTCACCTTCATGACTCCCTCCAGAATAAACACTCGCTCGGATAATGTCAGATCAACTGGCTGTGCCGCCGCCCATTGTGTGCTCAACTTTATCTTTCACGTTTTTTCCTGTTTCCTGCAAAAGAAACATTTAGACCCAAATGAAAAGTTGCAAATGGCAATCTGACCTGTACTGTGTATCCAAAGCAGCCCTGACCTTATCTTTGTTTGTGTGTGTGTGTTGTACGATTGGAGAGGGTGGGTGGAGGGAGGGGGCATCGGTGACATCACTATCAGGGAGGATCCGAATGGACACGAAAGTCAATTAGAGTTTAACTGAGTTTACCAGCTGGTAAGAGAGAGAGCGCGAGCGAGAGCGAGGGAGGAAAAAGGGGAGGAGAGCACAAAAGAGAAGTACAGACAGATTGAGAGAGGAAGGGAGAAAGTCAGCTACAAAGCCAGAGGGACAGGAGGGAATTTAGCTGCCACAAACTTCCAATTCTTCATCTCTCTTCCATTTAATTCTCCTGGTCTCCTTCTCAGCTGCTATTTTGCGTCCTGGTCCTGGCATAACAGCGGTGTCCGGTCAGCCACAGGGAAGCTGGTGGATGTTTTTAAGAGCACACTTGTCCGACACTCACAACAGGATGAGAGCTTGAGGACAAGCTGGAGAGGCTGACGTTATTCCAGAGGTACATTCACTAACCCAGGAGAGGCAGACGGCATCCACTCCATCCTCAGGAGCAAATGAGAGGAGAGGGTCTGTAACGCTGGAGCTCAAGGACAAACCATGGACTCTGCACACCTCCCACTTCACCTGGACGTGAGTATCAACCTCCGCAGCAGAATACCTTGATGCTTGCAACATCAGTTATATCCTGGGTCATGGGCCAAACTATGACTTTGACAAGACAAGTGCTTGTCTTATTTCCTAGCGCAATATCTAAACTTGATTTAATCAAGATCAGTTGACTGTGAGAAGCAAAGTTGTGTAAGAAAATGTGAAAATAAATCCTGAATTAAGTTTATTTTCTCACCCCTTTGTATAATACAAAAGCACAAAATCATTAAACATATTTTGCTTATTTGCTTTAAACAAGTTTTACCTTACACAATTTTGCTTCACAGGTCAAATGATCTTGTTTAAGGATGTTTAGACAATGGAAAACAAGACAATATGTACAATACTGATTACGAAAATTATTTTCTGCAGTGTATGACTCAAATCTGATTAAACTCACTCAAATGTCAAACAGCTACCCATTGCTGCTCCATGCTAAAAATTCACACGTATTACTCACCAAACCCAATGACAGATTCATAGTGGAGATGCATCCTCAGAACACGTGAAACAGGCATGTCAGTGATTCCACCAAAGGAAAAAGCAGTCAATGTTCTGTAAAAGACTTACAGACTGCCAAGACTGCCGTGCTGGAGCATAAAGAAGAAATTACTGTGGAGACTAGATTCTTGCTGTCCATGACTGGCAGATAGCTGAATATATGCTTTTGGCTTGGAGTAGAGACCTGCACTCCCGTGGGTTCGGGTGGGTAGAGACTTGTGTGTGTGCGGGATGCAGGAGAATACAATGATTTACGGGACTCCCACAAAATAGAAATATCTTAACATAAAACATCAAAAAACAAATACATTGTTATTCATCTGTTGCAGAAATTGTAGTATAACAGAGCTTTGTGAGATCGCGATGAACCGAGATGCCATGCACGCAGCAGCCTTGCTTTTCTGTTGAAAATAACAGTGGTTTGTGAATGCTTTAATAACAAATATTTCATCGGGAGCATTTAGGCTGGGATGTTGTGGCTAGGCAACAGAGAACGTACTATTCCATGTTAATTTCATGGATGCATAGAAAAAAATCTATAGGCTACTTTTATGTGGGCTTTTGTGGGAGGGACCGGGACAAAACATGAATTTTGTAGGTGGAGGCGGGACAAGATAACATATATTTCTGCGGGAGCAGGCAGGTGCGGGACAGAATCCTGGAGGAGCAGGACTGAAAAATCCGTCCCGCGCAGGTCTCTAGCTTGGGGGATAAAATGTACAGCAAACAAACAGGCAAGGCCTTTACTGACTGGATAAATCATAAAATCACAATCTGGCAGAAAAAGGAAGTTATGATATGTGATGTGTCTTTTCAGAGCTTACAAAAATACGTTTTTAGAATGTTACAATGTTGCGTTAACTAAAATAGATCATACATTTAGATTCTTCAGCATGTGCCAGATAATAATACAACGCTGTCTGAGGGTTTCAGGACTGCCAAATCGGTCAAATTGATAACAGAATGTTATGTGAGGGTTAGGGGAGGATTCTGGGAGGAAATGTCTTGTCTGGTCTACTCTGCACATCCTTGGAGACCACTTTAGTCTGTTCTTAGTTGAACCTTTGGCAAGCTGCATAGAAAGTGTGTGTATATTTCTATAACTGTTCTGGAGTTCTGAAGTGTGTTTTTCAATCTGTAACAGTGGGGTGTGTGTATGCGTGTGTACGGTCACAGAGGATTGTTCCACTGAATGTTATGGGGGGGAATGTAATGTTACAATCTGAGGTCTGGGCTGCTGTCATTATCTCCCAATCGGTCCAGCTGGGATAAATTACAGTTTTGTGCTAATATACTCCGATAAAACCTCCCTGCTGCCTACCTGCAATATTATTCTAATCAGAGGCACAGCTCTACCATTTGTGACTTCTCACGTGCCTTGGGCACTCAGGATTTGGGGGGAATAAGTGCTGGTACCTTTTGCATCTGAAAACGTAGAGCAATTCATGTTTAAGAGTATTCCTTCAAGAACAAAATGGGGAGGGGGGAGCGTGCTGGGGAGAAGCAGTCTAGGGAATGAACGAAAGGAAGAACAACAGGAAAGGAGAGCGGAGGGATCAGGGTACGGAGTGAAATGTGAAACATGAAGACAGCGGTGGAGGATAAATCAACAACAAGCAGAGGCACCATGACCCCTATGGCCCTACACTGTTGACTTCTGGGTAAATCTAAAAGGGAGAAACAGGAGAGAAAGAGAACTGGCTTTTCCTAGAACTGTGTAACAATATATCAGTTCTGGAAGTCATGCTTTACAGGAAGAGAACTGATAAGAAGAATAAAAATAGGAAAAAAAAGAGTGGAAAGCAAGCTGAAAGTGATAAGTGGATGCAAAGAAACCCTGCCCTCCACTCTGAGGTCGACAGGTCACGTCGCTCTGGTAATGGCACGAGTCTGGCCGACCTTTCCTCTGCCGGGGTCACCTCTCGCCGTCTGTTTTGGGGTCTAATAAACGCCTCTTTCCGCCCCCTCTGTCTGATTACCACTCTCCCTGTAGAGGAAGTGATTGAGTGTCGAATCCAATCACAATAGAAACCGTAACACATATGCGGCCCAAATGCATGCCGATGGTGGGGAGGGACTGCGGGGAAGACAGAAGCGAAGGAGTCTAATGATGGATTAGTAGGGAGGCGGCATTCAGGAGAACAGCTCCGTCTGGAAGCTACACCTCTGTGATGTCCCACTGGGCGGAACAATCGAGTAGATGGGTAAAAGCCACTTAATCTACTTTACTGCCGGATGCTGTGGGCGTGGGGGACTGTCTTATCCTGTGTGTCCTCTGAAGATTCAGCTGGAATTTGGTGAATGAGTGTGAGCGAGATGGAGGAGACGTAGAGGACAGCGGGAGAGCGGTATACATTCTCTTTTCCAGTGCGTTTAACACCTGCAGTCGAGGGTAATCCAAGACTCCCAGAGGAGACACTGCTCAGCAAGTCCTGACTTGAGCAGATTTTACATCAAAAGGCCATTTAGTTTGACTCAGATGTAAGTGTTCCTGGCCTGTGTGAGACCACCCAGCACCTTGTAGCTGCATATTCTAGGCTAAATATGAGATAAGTTCTATATAGGCCACATAAGCTCTTGAAACCACAGAAATAATTTACTCATCTCTCAGTGGAACAGACTGTGTGTTGACAGTTATTAAGGAAGACAGTAAGTTCAAGCATACAATGGATGCTCCATAGACCTCAAATTATCCATTCGACACCTCTCACAAACTCCACCAAAGTTCATATTTGTAAAGGACCCTTTGAAGGCTTATGTTGGCTTAGAGATGAGACCGATGTGAAGGATAGTTCAATACTGTAAGCTTTGAGAAGATTTCGTCACTAATGGATGACAGCTTGCAACAATTAGCTGTTGCTGAAAGGAAGGAGATCTAAGTGCTGGAGGGTCTAATTGTTGAGTGCCAATCTGTCCTTTTAGGTAATTTTTCAGGTAGATTTCCACTTGCATAGCAGTGATGTTGACGGGCCCAAATTCAGGCTATACATGTTATATTAAACTTTTCAAATCCAAGTTGTACAATTTCTGACTGCTTCCTCTTTGAGGAAGCCTTTGAGGGCAGGTGCTCAAAGTATTAAAGGGACACATGGAACAAGGCTTTAAATAGGGCTATGCTCAAAATATCAATACAGCAATATACTGTGACACATTCCTTGCTGATACGCGAATCGATACAGATGCTTCTGTATTGATACAGCAGCAAATGCCGTGACGCAGTTTTGAAAAAACACAGAACAGAAAACACCATTTTAAGTTTAAAGTTAAATATTTTTTTTCTTTGCACCTCTTAATAACTCTGGAATTATAAACTGAATTGTATTATTGATATTATTATTATTGTTATATTATTATTATTATTATTATTGAGTTTACATGGTATGGTGGTTTTGCTGTTGTAAACATTACTGTTGCTGTTGTAGAAAAAAACATTTCTGTCATATTTAAAATAGAATTCTATTCTAATCTTGTTCTGAATTTATTATTTTTTTTTAATGATAATGATAATAAAATCCGGATTGATAAGTATAATTCGGAGGATGAGAAAATCAGTATAAGCCTGTTTTACCAGTGCTGTGATAATTATTTTAAGGCATTCTGATTTTTTAAATAAATACTGTAATAATAATAGTTCAAAGTATGAATAGTTTTAGTCAGATAACATACAAAAGACAAGACCCCTCAACGGCCATTAAATTTTCTCAATCGAACAGCAAGAACGAAAGAGAACATGCACCTTTGTTTATATTGCTGTGTGTAGAACTACATTAGCTGCATTTTTAATATTTAATGAATATTTAATTTTAATAAAATGTAAATTCATCCCCTGCACTTTATTCGGGCAGGTGTGTTCACATAGAGGTTTCATGGGCCAGTGTATATAAATCTAGATTTAAATTCAAAGAAACAGGATAGTCTATGCATGACTTGACATTTTATTCGTGTCCAAAATGAGGCGATGTGAATATCATGGAGTGCCATGGAGCATCATGGAACATCAAGGGTAAAAAGGGGCAGGTGCTCAAGCACCCACACAGAACAATAGTTCCTTGCCACTCTATGCAACAAACTAGACTATTAGCGCTAAATCAACTGACATATAAGGTAAAACAATGACACATGGTTAAAGGGCTTAAGCTAAAAGTATGGTCAATTACAACACATATTGGGACAAGAAGTACATTTTTGACCATTATTTCTTATGAGTCAGGTATTTATTGACTGGAATAAACACCATCAATTAATGGGATAGTTCACCCAAAAATACAATTTCTGTCATTGTGCCATTCCAAACCCGTATGACATTTTTCTCCATACAATGAAAGTCAGTGGGGTCCAAAATAGAAATGAAAAACTTTTTTTAAATATCTTGAGAAGTCCCAAAATGGCTCCTCTTTTTACCTTTCTCTCCTCAGGTCCAACATGTTCCCTGCTAGCCTACTGGTTCTGATGATCCTGCTGCTACCTCAAGTCTCATCAGGTCAACAGGAGGGTCCCAGTCAGACACATGGAAACCTTGGTAGTCTTCTGGAACCTAGTTTGGCCCATACCATTCAAAACCTCCTGCTGACCCGCCTGGGACTACAGTCACACCCCAACCCCAGTACAGAGGCACGGGTGCCCCAATATCTTCTAGACCTGTATCGATTTCACACTCAGCAGTACCATCTCATTGAAGACCCAGAGTTTAACTACCCCTCCCAGCATGTGCAAGGAGCCAACACAGTCCGATGCTTTCACCACACAGGTATGAGCAGCTATTGCACTAGGTCATAGGAATACAGATTCCCTTGGCAGTCATAAAAGGCTAAATGTATCGTACATACAGCACAGAGACATGTGGAAGTCAATTAACCGGACTTAGGTGCCAGCATGCCCACTGAAAAAGCTACCCATGGATTCAATGTTCTGATATTTTTCACTCGTGTCTTGGCGTCAGCGTAGACACCTTGGAACAAGTTAAGAAGGACAAGGCTTATTTTCATAAGTGCTCCTAGCAAATTATGTACAATTATTATTTAGTTGGACAATTATGCCATTACCCAGAGAGCAAGTGTTTGAACATGATGGAAGGAAAGTATTTTACAGCTTAAGAACTTTGTCTCTCTTTTTTCTCATCTAGATTCTACAGTCCTGAGTGTTCCAGAAGAGCAGAAAGCGACAGCGGACAGCATTCACATTGGCTTCAATCTGTCCTCCATTCCTTCAGAAGAGAGTGTGGTGTCGGCAGAGCTGCGTTTCCTGCATGAAGGATCAAAGGAAGACTCTCACGTGGTCAGCCTTTATCTTTCAAACAGTGACCCTGTATCAAAGCCCACACTGCTCCATTCACGTCAACTGACTAGAGATAGAAAGACTACAGAACTCTGGGAAACCTTTCCCCTGGACGGAGAAGTGTTTCAGAATCTATCCGAGAAGTCAGGGAGCCTGTCTTTTATTCTGGACGTTATTGCTGATAATAACAGCAGTCTCTCCAAAGAGAGACATCTGCGGGTGCGCAGGTTCACCGGGCAGGATGTGCACAGCTGGGCGAGGCAGAGGCCCTTACTGGTGACTTACAGTCACGATGGGCGCAGCAAGCCCTTTGTGCCCCTCAAAAAGCAGCCCCCTGATGGCAGACAAGGCAGGGGCAGATGGACCGGGGGCAGGTTTAAGGGTGATAGGGGTCAGGGCTCTGACACAGGTTGGCGGGTGGGATGGAATGAAAGGCGAGTGAAACGACAAGGTGGGAGGGCTGCCAAGCTCAAACGGCTCTCCCGCGCTCGCTGCCGTCAACACCCACTGTATGTGGACTTCAAAGATGTAGGCTGGAATAAATGGATCGTGGCCCCGTCTGGTTACGATGCTTTCTTTTGCCTCGGAGAGTGCCGCTTCCCTTTAAGAATGCATCAATATATCTATTTAAATAGCAAAGAATATGGAATATTTAATCTTGACAAAAACCGCAGATATATAAGTACCAGAACGCCTTATAGATCCATTTAAAGCCAGTTAAAACTGGTGTTACTCATCTATTATTTGTAAAACCACAGCACTGAATCATGGCAGCTTTATATTGGCATTGACTGAACTATGAGGGCTCTGTCATTACAATAGAAGCTTTGTGAAACAAAGAAAATTGCCTAAACATTCCACGGTATTGTGCCAAATGTTATGTTATGTGCCATATGTGTGCAAGCTTGCTAAGTGGTAGGCCTATTATACATAACTTTGTATCTTTGTCATAATGTAGTTATCACACAAGTGTTGACCAAACTGTTTGTATTTAAAGACAACAGGTTAAAAAATTGTTAGTGTGATGCTTTATGTGCAGTTTAAAAGCCTTGAGAATGTCTGACATTGTCTGAAGCCATTGTGAAATGTGTAATAATAAACAGCAAACTAATAAGGCAGTTCTAATTATCTCAATCTTTGACTTTTTTTTTCTTTCAGAATTGCTTTCCTAAAACTTTAATTTAGAAGAATACAGAGTAGTTAATAAATAAATAAATAAATACAAGCTTTCATCGGCCTGGTTTTACAGGGTTTTGTGCACTCGGAAACCAACTAGACAAGCTTAAACCAGTTAAGACCAGTTAGATAAGCAAGGTACTGTTATTTCAGGATAGAAGTAAAAATGTAAAGAGAAAGCAATCTGGTGGAAAGGATCTGAAGTGATAGAAAGAGCTGTAAAATGTCTGCATAAGTTTATTAGCTCTCATTATAGATTCTCTCTCAACATCTGTTTTTCATCCTTCTGAGGATCTTGGACCCAGTCTGCAGCGGTCTCGATGTTCATTTATCTCATAGTAAATGAGAAGAGCTTCAGTATTCTCAGTTCCTTAAGCCTTTGGAGACCAGGCTAGGCTGAAAAGATAAAGACTGAAAATTACAGTACAGATAGCTCATTAGTGTTATATCTATATTCTATTGTGTGTGTGTGTGTGTGTGTGTGTGTGTGTGTGTGTTGTGTGTGTGTGTGTGTGTGTGAGAGAGAGAGGGGTCCAAATCAAACTTATATTTTGTTCTTCAACACATGTCAAAAGTTGCACATCATCAAAAAGAGTATGTGAAGGACTACATGAAACATTACATTACAGTAACATTAAAGCCACATACTTACAGGGAAATTACCTTTGACCTGTGATGTCTTCTTTCTCATTCCCATATCTCTTGTTTGCTATCACAAACAGAGCTTATCTTGCCAGGTGTGTGGGTCAGACCTTTGAACTGAACTGCAGTGGCCTTGACATATTTACATATAACACATTCTCACAACCATAAATCAACAATGAGACCCATACAGGACCCATGGGAAAACATAGGTTATGTTCATAAAAGCAAATTAATATCTATGGTATTCATCAATTTATGTGCACTTAATGCTTGCTAACTACAGGCGATTCTACACCCTGTTTGACTTTCATCTCTGCCACCTTAAAAATTATTCAAACAGTTGTGCTTGAAATCTTCACTCATCTAGACAATGTTATTGAGCAACACTCCAATTCTGCAATCAAATAAATACTGTTTGAAAAGAACAACAAAGGATATGAAGAGTTTTGCAACGAAGACATTTGCAAAAACCGATAAATGCCACTTTAAAAAAAAATGGCGTGCATTATTCTCCACATATAGCGAGATCTGAACCCTAAACACGTTTTGTCAAAAAAGCCGGTTTTGTCCACTTTCAAGGTATCGCGAGTTCACGTTTTACTGCAGAAGCCGACAAGCGCCCTTGCCGTTTTTGAACAGAAGCCGATAAGTCCATTTTAGCGAATCAGCGCGCTGTATTCAGGTCAGGTGACAAGGCTACTTTCACTTTGAAAAGACGTGCTAGCTGAGAGGAGTTTCATCAAAGCTGGCTAAAAGTGATCGAGGATGGATAATTTCGACAAACTTGAAGAACCTGTGAAAAACGACTGTTGGAGTTATCTGCTTTTGCTATAAAACAAACTTATACTATGTAAAAAAAAACATACTTTCAATGAACCTTAATTTTGTAAATTACCTTTATTTGTTTAAGTCATTATTACTTAATCAAAACAACCCAACTCCGGTTTGATTGTTATTACTTGGAATGCGCAATAAAACAACCATGATTTATGAAAAAAAAATAAATAAATGGAATTATCGGTTTTTGCAAATGAACTCTTCATATGAAGTGATACAATGTTCAGTTCAGTTATGTTTAATGGTGCATTCAGTAGTTTGCTGGTAATGTAAAACATGTTACACATCAGTAAATAAATTGTGTTTTTGTGATATGAATAGTGATCTGAATCAGTGGTTCTCAAAGTGTGGTACGAGCTCCCTTCTAGTGGTACGCAGAGGAATCACTGAATTAAATATAAATTAGGCCGCGTGTCCACCAAAGCGTATTTTTCCCCAAAGCTAACACATTTTTTCAATTGTTTTAAAGGGAAGCGCTGCGTTTTTTTAAATGCCAGGAGCGTGGCGAGCGCTGAGCATCTTTTTCACGCTAAACGCGCGGCAACGGGAGTTGAAGAAAGTTCAACTTTGGGTAAAACGCAGCACTCATCACTGTCACTCTTTAGTCAGCTAACCAATCACAGTGGAGGAGGGGTGGGACTAATATCGACCAACCATCACACCCTGCTTGTACTATGACTGAACAACAATGGAGAAGTTAATATTGCTTGTCTCTGAGTATTTATGTCTTTACCAGGTGGAATTGCCTGACTACCATAATATTGTTGTGAAAAATAATTCTTGGAGAAACATTTCATTCGCGATGCGTCTGCCATATTGCTTCAGCAGATATTCTGTATCATAGTAACCACATAGTAACTCAACTGAAAAAAAAAAAAATTTTCTGACAGTGCACAACAGAAACAGTACAACACATTTTCATTTCATGTTTAAGTACATTTAAGTTTTTAACATTTAAGTACAGTACAGTTTTTATTTAACTTTTAGGTACAATATAGTACAATATATTTTAATTTAATAATCATGTAAGTTTTTCATTTACCTGGATGTAAGCACAGTGCAATGTTAATGTTCAAATTCTGTATTTACAATGTTTAAAGTGGCTGACAATAATATCGATTCTTATTAGGAATAAAACTGCCTGTTTTTTCTTTTTCTTTTACTGTGCATAGAATTACTGTATTTTAATGTTGGTCATTATGGTGGTACTCGGAGAGTCAAATATGTTCTGAGGTGGTACATGGCGTAAAAAGTTTGAGAACCACTGATCTGAATGGTGTACACTCACATGAGATGAAGACTCAATAGTTTTCTATAAAAAGCATTTTAATCGTGTATACTGCAGGTAACCCTCTTAATGAAATGAAGCGACCTGTGTTGTTTCACTAAACATCAAAGAGAATCTTCAAAAAGTGAGTATTACACAAAGGAACATACTTATCATTGTGCTTTACCAGTGGAGACAATGGGAGGATTAGTACGCAAATTTTCATCAAGAAATCCCAGACACAAGACTGTTTTTAATAAAAAAAAAAAAAAAAAAAAGAACACTGCATGTCGTGGGCGAGTTTTCTCACCGTGTGAGGGTGTTCGTTGTTCCTATTTTAAAGATGTGAAAAGGTCTCTAGACATTCTGTGCGAGATATATGGTACATCAACAAGGTGTCCACTGGGTCCCCTCATGACCGACTTTTTTTCCAAGACATTTTTTTCTTCCATTTAGTCCCACCTTTCCACTCATAGTCTGCAAGTAGTCTGCAACGTGTCAAAACCACAATTGGCCTGGGTATGCATTTAAAGGTTATGAACAGAACTAATAGGTGTGAGGTGCTCATTTTCAAACTTTTGCAGAGGCGATGTTCCCATTTATTTCATCAAAGGCTGTCCTCTTTACTTTCCAAGTATAGGGTAGACTACATTTATTGCCAACCATTTTAGCTGACAGGATTCATAGCTCTGTCATTTAGCAATTTAATTTAGTTAATTACCACATTTCAAATGACACCAAAGGTCTACATAACTCTAAGTACTCTATGTAATGTTACTCTTTCTTACATCTGGTTCATACTGACTTCATTTATTTTTCTTTATCCTAAGAAGAATTGGAAGGAACATCGCGTTTTTTCTTCTGCGTGTTCACTTATGGCAGGGGTGTCCAATCCTGCTTCTGGAGGGCCACTTACCTGCAGAGTTTAATATACCTGAATCAGCTAATCAAGGTCTTCAGAAAGGTCTCACTAGAAACAGGCAAGTGTGTTGGAGCTGGTTGGAGCTAAACTCTGCAGGACAGTGGCCCTCCAGGAGCAGGAATGAACACTCCTGACTTATAGAAACACACAAATTAATAGATTGAAGAATGTATACAGGGCGGTGCATCAAGCTGAAATAGTGGCTTTCTACTCTGAATCTTTACTTAGCAAGACTGAAAAGAAGAATGTCTTGCAAATGCTCCATTACCACAGTCCAAATCCAAACCTTAAAGGAAGAAACTAAAGGTTTGGTCAAAACTATTTTCAGTAGTAACCACAGTGGTAGCCACATAGACTCTCAATTAAACCAGGGATATTCCTACCTGAAAAGTTACGAATCTCTCAGATCAGCTAAAAGGAAGTTAAGAATCTCTCAGATCAGCTAAAAGGGTTGGTTAGATGGTTGAAAACCCACAAGGAAGACAGATCATGAGGCTTTGATCTGTAGAATAGCTGACAGAAGCAAATTGTGAGGAGAATCAAAATCTAGATTAGTGATGGTAGGCCTATAAGATGGTGCACCTTAAACCAGTGTTTTCCAACCCTGTTCCAAACCTAGTTTGGATGTCTTCTTTATCTGACTTATCTATTTTTGGTCTTGGAGTCTCTATGAACAAGCTGATGAGTTCAATCAGGTGTTGATTAGGAAGGAAGAGTTTGAAAATGTGTACTGTTGGTGTGCCTGCAGGAACAGAGTCGGAAAACACTGCCTTGACTGCAGAGTTTGGCTACAATCCTAATTAAACACACCTGACCAGCTAATCAAGGTCTTCAGGATTACTAGAAACTTCCAGGTTGGAACTA